TCGTAGACACTATATATGAAGTTCTACTAGTAAAGATGGGAATAATTGTCGATAAAACAAACATAAATGTTAGTGGAGAGTCTCAGATTTTAAACATTGTTTTAATATGTATGATATACATACCGTAGCACATATACGAGAATAAACCAGGAATTAAATTCGTTTCCAAAACATAACCGACATTTAAACTAGAAAATACAACAAGCTCAGATGCAATTATTTCTAACAACTGATCAAATAAACAAAATTACTAATGATTTTAATTTTTTTGTAACCTGTTTTTAAAGTTTTGAGGATAGCATATTACAAACGATACGTGTACAATTATTGTTTTTCTAATTTGATGCATCGTAGTATCGGCATTTCGTCATATAAATTTTCATCTTGTCATAGACCGCTTCCATGTTTTTAATAGTAACAAATTTGGAACGGGGAAACCTTCTGGCAGACCAGTTTTGACTTTTTTCATTCAAGCGAGTTGCATACCTTTCGTTTTTTTTTTTATTCAAAGACTGTCGACCAAGTCATGGCAGCGCATCTACCTTCGATTCATGGTGACTTCTAATCAAATTAATGTAGAATGCGTAGACGTTGACTGTTCTGATTGGAACCCATGTTTAATAATAATAATAATTTCTGAAAGAAGAAATGATAAATGGGAACACATCATGCAGAAACTTTACATATTTTATTGACAAATGCGTTGAAGAGAACACAAAACTGACTATCAAGGTTATTGATAATATTCTATATTTGGAATAAGTCAGGTTAAACTATCAGTGAGAAAGCAGAAATGCGTGATCTTTCATGAGGTATTGACTAATATGAAATGATTGTATGGAATAAGTCGGCAACATTGTTCTTTACCCATATGTTGCCAATGACAAGTTGCTCAATTGGTAAAAAAAAGATATTTTGACAATTTTAGCCTTACTTCCTTTATAAAGTTAGAACAATCCCCATTATGACGGCTCTCACACATTTTAATTGATTGTATAAACGGACCATGCGGCAGTTAACATTTCATACTGTAATGATATTTTGTCAAACAATACTCTCCGAAGTGTGCCAAAACTGATCACGCGTTGTCACATCGATTTAAAATCGGACAAGTTAAATATATGACCATATGTTGCATATGCACCTAATATCATATTGTCATAATGAAACATGTATCATAGGTTTTCACTATCGAAAAAAATCTTCTCTATTTGACATGTACTGTATGGTGTATATGATCACTAACGCCAAAGTTATTGTGGAAATAAACATTTATAAACGAAAATCTCACTTGAGAGTAACTTTAATTCTTATTTAGAGATCATTACGTAAAACAATTTAGAATGTAGTGTGAAATACATTGTTATAATCATTTGTTTGATAATCGTGTGTTGTTAACTGCGCCTGGTAAAGAATATTTTCTTTGATTAAATCGACTAACCAAAGTGAAACTTTCTCCATTGTCTCTCATAATTCCTAATGCAAATATTATAAATTAGTTTTAGAAATTAAAGAACTGGTTTTGATATCTTTCAGGGTAAATATAATCAATAGTATTGTTACTTACAAATGATTGGTATATATATATATATATATATATATATATATATATATATATATATATATATATATATATATATATATATATATATATATATATATATATATATATATATATATGCGTGTGTGTGTGTGTTCGGTGAAATACAGGCATTTTTAACCGTTACTTGTAACAGACAATTCCTGATATGGTCATAATAGACATGGCGCATGTGGAATTGGTTATTTATCAGTTTAAACATGTATAATACATTTGGGTAAATATGTACATATAACAAATTGTACAGCAGAACAGCAGATATAGTCAATGATACATGTAGGTAAAGTAGGATAGGTTTTGGAAATAGCTAGTATTTTGAGTTTTGAGAGAGAGAGAGAGAGAGAGAGAGAGAGAGAGAGAGAGAGAGAGAGAGAGAGAGAGAGAGAGAGAGAGAGAGAGAGAGAGAGAGAGAGAGAGAGAGAGTGAGAGAGCAAGTCACATGAGATCTAGATAGTAATCGTTTATTTGTACTAATAATACACGAAGGACTTGTGAACTCATTTTAGTCATTTGACAATTATCATATAGTCATTTTGAGATTGGTAAAATACAAAAGAAAAAATATCTGACAATCCTGCTTTTGAGGATAATTTGGGAATACTTATTTCTGTTGACTTAATTGCAAGCAGTAATTAAGTATTGGTCAGCTGCAAATATTATTTAAACAACGCGTGTGGATGCTATCAGTTTCTAACATTCAACCATGCCTTGAACGAAATCTTCCTTACGGTTGAGTGTCTTTGATATCCAAACGCACCGATCAATAAAACAAAAATAAGCAAGTTGTAATACTCCTCACAAGAAAATTGGCATCAAAACAATCTTTGTAAAGCAAATTGCTTGTAGTCAGCATTCTATGAAACTGCCCGAGGAAACGTTGGTCCTCAGCGTCGGCTGGTTCTGGATACGTACAAATAGCGTGAAAAGAGCTAGTGTTTTATGTTATTTTACCCGTACTTCAGATATTTAATAAAATATCTTGTACCTTGTATTACGAGTTAATGGTCTTACAGTAAGGAATAGAAAAAATTTAAAAGCAATAGGCTTTGCAAAATCATGAAATAATATAAAAAGAGCAATTCTTGCGAATTATATTCCGAACAGACGCAATTACTAATGGTTCAAGTTCTAAATACCTTTAGCAGAAATTCAAATTAAATACAGCGTTGGAAGTGTTGATGTGCTTCTGGTGGCATATGCAGTAGTGATGCGCCAAAGTATTATGTTCGATGACAAAAACATAATCCAGTCATATATTCTAATTTGAAATTTCACTAACATTTCAAGTTTTTATTTCCCAATTTTTTTTTGTATTGCCAGTAATTAAATAATTTGATTAATTAAAATTTCAGCCCAAGTCAAGCAGTATAAACAACAATACTGCAATAGTTCCTGCTGAAATATTTAAATGCGAAGAAATTTTTTTCTCAAGAACAATTATACAGTCATATTCTTGATCCAAAGTCAAACTTATCATTTTCTATTAAAAAAGAAATTAAAGGAAATATTCCGTTGGAAATGGTTCAATAAAAAAAGCTCTTAATTACAAATTGAGCTCTATTAATAAACTGTGTACAGAATACATAAGGCATGCCAGGAACATTTATGGGGTAATTCAAACAATGTAGACCCAGACAAAGATCACTTTTTATAATAATAATAATGGTCCTAATAAAAAATCAAATATGCACAGAACAAATTTTAGTTATCTATTAGCTGTTTAGCAAATTTTGTAAAATCAGTGACGATTTAAATAAGAAAATTTGCTTTGGACACACACACACACACATACATATATATATATATATATATATATATATATATATATATATATATATATATATATATATATATATATATATATATATATATATATATATATATATATATATATATATATATATATCTTAGTCTTAGGTCATCTAGCGCGCCGTTCGACGCATTGGGCAGCGAGTGCTCTCTATCGAGCTTGATCTGTCCAATGGTTTCAGCGTCTTCCAATGATATGCACTCAGATCTTCTATGATGGTGCCTCGCCATGTAGTTTCCGTCCACGAAATGGCGTTTCTTGGATGCCGTGAGATTGGTTGCCGGAGTATGTGGCCTGCAAAACATACCCTGCGCTCTGTCGCAACGTCCTTGAGAGGGCGGATGCCTGTTCGCTCGTTGATCTCTTCATTTGTGATGTGATCCTTGTATGATATTTGCAAGATTCTACACAACCATTGCTGTTGGGCAGAGTTATACCTCTTTGCAATCCAGGCCAACGTCTTCCACGTTTCAGATGCACAGATTGCAATGGGACTACGATAGTATTGAATAGTCGGATTGTTATTGCTACAATGATTTTTGCGTTGGCCCAGATTGGTCGAAGCCGTTGAAAGAATGTCTCTACCTTCCCTATTTAACAAGCGACATCGTGGTAGGCATCGCCATCGTTGGCTAGGATGCTGCCTAGGTACGTGAATTTCTCTACCGCATCAAGTTGTTGCTGACCAATCTTCACGGCGTCTCTTGCTGTGGTATATGCGATCGTCATGATCTTTGTCTTATTACGTTTATCCTAAGTCTAACTCTGGCGGCTTTGAAAAGTAGGATGGACTATTTTGTTCTACAAGATAGCGTTGATGTAGCGAGAGAGAGAGAGAGAGAGAGAGAGAGAGAGAGAGAGAGAGAGAGAGAGAGAGAGAGAGAGAGAGAGAGAGAGAGAGAGAGATTGAGTATATCGGCTAAATAAAAGTATCAGAGCTTATGTGATGTGTTGTTTTCGACTATATGATATCCTGCTTCATCATTTCTTTAGTCTGTATATTCGTATTTTGTGGTCTACATCTGTGACCTTGTCACAAATAGAAGATTATTCTATTCTTCATCGTTGTAACATTTAACGAAATTTGTAGCAAATATTTGTCTTCGGTATTAATTTTCTTCATCTCTCGTATTGACATTTATAAGTACTTGCCACGCCAAATTCGGTATATTATCAATAACCTTGATAGTCAGTTTTGTGTTCTCTTCAACGCATTTATCAATAAAATATGTAGTCTTTCCATCATTATATCCCCAATTCTGGTGAGAGGAATGAGTTTATTAGGTATTATATTAAATTATATTTAGATCAATGTCGTTGTTTGTCAGATTTTGATTTTGACCAACAGGAAATGGTATCGAGAATTCAGAGAACAGCTTTCATATTAAAAAGTAACTCGAAATCTATATATTGATCTGACTTACCTTGACTTGCAAATATCAGTTAAATGCCAATAACATATTCCAGTACCCAGATGTTCTTATGCATGGTGTAAAGTCTAATTGCGTGGAACCCTTATAAATTTGCAATATATCTGTTTATTGATTCATCATTGTCCGATTCTAAATTGTAATTAAATTCTCGTATAATGGTCTTTATATATGGTCTAGTGGTTAGAGCATCCGCCTCGGATGCGGGAAGTCGAGGGTTCGATTCCCGGACGAATCATGCTAAAGATTTATAAAAATGGTACTAACAGCTGCCTCGCTTGGTGATCAGCATTAATAGGTTAGTGTTATGTCTGGACTGCTTGGCGTAAGGATAATATGACTAGGTAAAACATCATGTTAAATGTATGCGACATGTTGCCCCATAATAGACATCAATATAAACTGCCACATCTTAGCAACACGACTGAAAGATTTAAATTTATTGTTTACGTATTTGTTGAGGATAGGATTTTGGTTGTTGGAAATGAAATTTTATCGTTTGAGCCATTGAATAAAGAGTATATTCTGAGCGCAATGGTGGCCTAGAATTCGTCAAATTATATTACGTGGTGGATAGTTGTCTTAGTGTTTGATCTTTAATTTTTTTGTGGGTCTATTTTCGGTGATCACAACATTTAGGTTTTATGATACTAAGACATCCTCAAATGATACCTGGTATATATCCCTTCCATAAGCGTATATACAAATAGCAAACAATCATAAATTGAAAGTAATTGTAAAAATGTTACAAAGCCGACATGTCATTTTATCACGAGAAAGTGTCATGTTCGTCGTATACCTATTGCAACGTCTAGTTGATGTGAAGGATACTATCAATTCTGTAAGTTTCACTCTTAATTTCAAAGCAATAATGCTAACCAGGCTAAAACGCGTGCTTGCATTTGCTATGCATAATATTATGCGTAAATCGGTCACTTCCGTATACAAGTATCTGTATGTCCTGGTTTTAAACCATAAATTAATATACGCAGGTCTTTTACATAATTATTAACCAGCATAATAAAAACCCATTGATGATAGTAAACCTTAAATAAAAAAGGAGTGCAGATTTATTTGGTAGAAAAATTATCTATGCCTCTGAGCAACATAATTTTGGAATAGTTTTAATCCATTTCTTATCATCCAAATACAAAATCTTTAATTAAAGCTTGAATATGTAACAACATGAGGTCATGTGGTAATTGTGTTGACATTTTTGTTTAAAGCTTTGTTAGATTTTTGTGATTATTTGTTAATTATTTGTATCCAATGTTAACTAATTCACAGAGTAATTAGCCAATTTCCAAGAGCAGATCTCATAATTTAAAGTATTCACCATATTTTAGGGTTAGATTTGTAATGTGAAGTCTTCCGTATTTTTATAAGGCAATGAAATTTGAACATTTTCTTATGTATATGGAATACAGTTTAATATTATATGTTTGGTTTGTTTTTCGTTTTGTAGGGCGTAATGTTATATTATGCTTGGAAAGGCACGCTGGCGAGTCATACAAAGGAAAGTAGGATACAAAACACGCAGATGTGAACTAAAGTTTCGAAGTGTATGATTATTAGGTAATTATAATGAAAATATTTGTTGTGTCCTCTTTTTTAAGAATCTTTCCGTTGACAGCGCCTGTAATCTTGAGGTTTTTTTTACAACATGGGTAACAATAGACTTCAATCACCGAGAAGATTCATTCGCTAGGTAGTGAGCCATCGTGAGTGTAACAATAATATTTGGATACGTTTGAATAAACAATAATATTATTATAACGTTTCCATAAACCATGTCATTTTGCTTTCGCTGTTTTACACCAAGTAAATGTTAAGAAATGTATATGGACTCTGCTATAAATATTCAGATATTGAAATATGGCTGACGTAGTCTGCAGATGTGCGCAACAGTTGAGCTTCAGTTGTGTTTAGAACATTTTTGCATAATAGTGAAATGTTTGTTGATGGTATAAATAACCGGGTGAAGCATACAGCATACTGGGGACTTCCAGTTCAATTTTGAAAAATTGTTGAATCCTACTATGTCCTTTTAAGACGTGATTATGATTTTATCGTACCTTAACAATTTTTCGTTCATTTCGCTACGATATCAGCAGTGTGACAGTCTATAGTAATGCCGCAGACATTTAGCATGATGTCCCATCGAGTCAAATTATCTTGACACCAGGTCACTAACCTGAAGGCTTAGCGCCAAGCGAGGCAGCTGCTAGTACCATTTTTGTATGTCTTTGGCAGGCGCTCTAACCAGGAATGAATGGATAAATCAGTAGAAAAACTGAAATAAAAGTGATATTGTGTAGGTGAGGAATGGCTCTTACACAAAACCATTATCGGAATCGAAACCTGAACTGTGTAAGTGTGACAATAGCCGTTTTCACTTTTCTGTTTACATGCAATATTATGTCGATACCACCAGAATAAACATTCTTTTCTTTACCGTACTAACACTTTGTGCAAAATATATCGCGATGTTTCGATATCTTTCTAACAATATCAGTTTTGTTACTGTATTTGTTTTCATGACATGCACATTTAGTTAGACTCCTCGATACACAATGTTCTATAAGTATATGCTCGCTATATATTTATATATCGTTTCTGTCATACACATTTTCTTATTTGGTATAAAAGTGGAATTAGAGCAGAATACTTAGGGAAATACACTGAGTCGGGTTCAGTTGCGATTAATTCACCATTTAAAACTTTGCGTTATATGAGACTTAATGGATGGTATGCCAGCGTCTATTGCATGTAGATAATTAAAAGTATTCTAACTTAAAAAAGTAATATGAAAAACAAAAGAAAATGTATATACACTTTCTATCCTAGACATTTCAACATACAGGTTAGAGCGTTGTTTCTGAAGTGTGATTTCAGAAATTTTGACCACTTTATTAAAATATTTCTTCTTTGTGGTCTGCATTTTTTTCTGTGAACACAAGTGAAATGATTTTTACTTCCATTTGGCCTCATAATATCGTTTTATAGCCTTTCGTTTTACGATTTAGACTTTAATTTATATTCATGTTTTCACCAGCAATAACAATTTACCTAATAATCGTAATACAAAATGAATCATAGTTACTTATTAAATATGCTGCCATGACAATAAAATGACTATTCTCTAAACAATTAAATTGATGCGACCATTCTGTGTATAATAAATTCAGTGGACATCAGTGTCTTTTGGTGCGATTTCATTGATAAAGCATTCGTAAATATTCTACCATAGTACATTGTTATTTAGTTCATTTTATGTGCCTTGCATTCTCTAATTCATTTAGTGTTTTCCTTTGTTGCACATTAGTTTAGTCTCATCCCACAATTAATTTGTTTATCGAATTCATTAGCAAACTTAACCTTATTTAACGGCATGACGCTTTTGCACCGATTTGTTTTAACACATCGTACTTTCTCACGCATTCCTCGTCGTTAAATGTAGGCTCTGTTAAGTAATTACGTTTTCACTGCCTCAGTAGTTGCCTAAGCAACATCGCATTTGTCCACACACGGCTATGGTGTTATCCATACTTGTAAAGAAGGGATACCATAAGATAAAGGAATTCAATTTTCCGCGAAATCCTTTATTAATTACTCGGTGGAAGAAGATATGGGAGAAGAGAGCCAACAACAGAAAGGAAAATGAAAGCAACATCTTAGAATAAAAAGTGTCGTTGACGAACCTCTAGACAAAATTGACAAGACGTATGTTTGATGTCAAATAAATGTAACATTATGAATGGAAATAAAAACCTATTATACCAAATAAGTAACTCTTTAAATGAGATACAAGTAAGAAGAACGATTTAATTGCTGGGTAAAATTAGTATGAAATTAATATATGATAATAATAAATAATGTCATAGCTCGTCATATTTCTTAGGATTCAAGCTACTGAGTAAATGCCAAAGACAGCTGAAATTAAATAGAAGAACCAGTCAACTCAATAGTATTATTTGATAAATAAATTACCATAATACCTTTATCCCTGCAATGTTATGAAATGTTCAAATGTTGTCTATATTACGAAATTAAACAAGGGGCTTCATCAACTAATTCTGTTACGCACGGCTCGATACGATTTTCATCGTGTCATACAATATATTGTTCCCAATGCTTTGAATTTCAATATAGGGCCACCGAAACGCTTAAAGTTACAATGTGTGTTCTGTAAAGTCTGGCTATATTCCTTATGTCGTTTTTTTTAAAGAGATAGTCTTTCGAAATGTTTCTCAATGTTTAGTAACAACGTCTTTATATTATGGTCGGCCTGCGTGATTTGTACAACTTTGAAAAAGTGTAAAGCTCATAAGCTTTATGTAAAATTTGAATGAATTCTATCAAGTTGGGTGTTGTATGTGATTTGAAGGTTTGTATGTTTTTATTACCGGTTGTCATATTTGGCGGCAGAATGGCTACATAAGCGTACATTGGAAAGGCCTTGGTGACAATATTCTTTTCTGTTCAATTGAGCTTAATTCTGTGAACCAGTTCTTCAGACTTGTTTTGAACAAGTGTCTCTTAGTAACATCTGCCATATTAAGTAGCGTAATAGTATCCTGTACAGAAATTGTAAAGTTGATATTGTACTAATCATGTTGGTCAGATTTAATCAAACTATATTCAGCAATTTTTAAGATGAACATTTAGAGTGTTTGTTTAATATATTATTTTAATTTCTTTATGGGTTACAACATTTTTTTCACACAGTGATGAACAAAGTAACACCCCACTTTCTTTTAGGAAGGGCAACTAATATGAAGGACCGATCGGCACTATATGCATACATATAGAAGGCGTTTATATCACAGTGGTTCTTGTCAAATTTACCACGATTTTTGTATAAATTGTTTTAGAAGTAGCCATATGATGTTTTTAAAGAATAGTAACGAAAAAGAAAATTTATTGAACAGGAGATGAAACTCTCAAATGCACATGGATAAGCGGGGAGTGGAGTCATAACACAACCGCAGGGCAAACTATTAGTGCACTTAGCACTTGTTTTCTGATTTCAGAAAATATCTTACATCTAAATTAGAATCCTACTAGGAGCTCTTTCTCCTTGGCGACGTTTATAATGTCCTTAAAAGACAATTCAATCATACTGGAACCCTCTTTACCTTAGGACGAAAACTTTAACCATGGGGTTTAAAAATAATGGGATCAGCTCAGCTTGAACAGTATCATTTCACATTTGCGGTAGTAACGAAGGTAATAAAC